TGGCGCTATAGAAATAAACTGAATTGAATTGAATTATGGTTTTAATAAATTTTCATTCTTTGGTCTTTTTTGGTTCTTAGTTTGGTTGAGTATCACTAGTTTAGTCGAAAATTTTTAAATCAGAACATGTTTGTTTAATAAATTCCTATATTAAGAATTTAAAATTGATTGATTATTTATTGCTTTTGTTGTCTTATCAAACAGCCAGTCGGTGCTCGTATTCACATAACAATATATGACAGTCCAAAACTTATTGGATTAAATAAAATAAGTCTAAACAGCATTTAATTGCATTAGAGTAAAGAATCTGAAGCAGAAAACATGTTTATAATTCCGTATGCATGAGTAAGGGAGGATAGCTTAACTTACCAAGGGTTTCCTTGGCGCAGACTCAGCAGCCTGGCAAGGTCGCACTATACACAGTCGAGTCTCCATTTGCAGCTTGCAGGCGGGATTCTGGTTAGAGACCCTTGTGGAGACGCCGGTGCCGCAGCTCTGGGAGCAGGCGCTCCATGGGGTGGTCTGCTCTACGCAGGTGGAGGCTGGCAAGGCCAGCTTTGGGAGAACATTTGTTCTTGGCATTACTGGCCATGATCTGCCTGGTCGCATGGCTAAATGGAAATTAAGAACAAACAAGATTAAAAAGGGCATGCAATTTCTGTTTGTTTTTTTTTCTGACATTTTTTGAGCAGATGTTATATTTTCAAATTCTGTTTTATGTTGTCAAACTTTATGTTTTCAAATGTCCGACATTGATTTTTACGAATTTCCTTCTTTGTGTTTTACAGCTCATTTTCACTTCAGCCTTAAGCCCAGAACAAACGCTCCCTTAATTCCTCATTGACCAATAAAAATAATGAAATTTTTTTTACTAAATCGATAAAAAATTTGAAATAAATAGTCTTTTAAAAAGTAAAAACAGAAAGATTTCCAACTAAAAATTATTGTTTGAAAATAAAACGAAAAGATTTGAAACTGAAAAATATTGTTCAAATAACAAAATAAAAACAGATATATTCAAGACTGAACAAAAACAATATAAATTAATAAAAATACGTTTTTAAACTACTCAGTTTTTTTTTTAAATCAAAAAAATATATATATTTCTCCAATATCAAAATGTGGGTCCCATGGGGGCGGGGCTTAGATGAAAGTTTAGGTCATTGACAGTTTAGGTGCCTGGAAAAATATCACAGGCTGTTGTATTCAAGACCGTGGGAACCAGAAATGTCTTTAAAGCCTTAGCAATATTAAAACTGCTGTAAAAAAAAAAGGTTTTAGACAGCTGAAACATGAGAAAACTGTAAATAATGTCACAGACTCTGCATCAAACTGACAACACCAAACCAAAAATACTGCATATTTGCACCATATGTATTTAACGCTCTGAAATTCTATATCATTGGGTTATTTTTAAAGTTTTTTTTTCCCCACAACGTTTACATTTGATCACTGCTGCACTTAAAAAATGAAAATTTCATGAAAGCTGTACAAAACGAGATTTATTCTCATTTTGTACACACAGAATGTATACAAAACGAGATCTTGTTTACACTTTATACACTTTAGTTTTCAAGAAATATGTTTTAGTCAGACTGTTTGTGTATATATATATATATATATATGATTTAGAACAAACTTTCTGACTGTAATTCAGCTCCATAGAGGGGTTTGCTTTTTGCATTTCTACATTGTTGAGTCGTGGTTTACTTTTTTCATCCGGAAGGCTGGTTATATTGGCCTTAATTAACATTTAGATTACATTAGAAATTAACATTTTTGTTTCTAATTTAATAAAGCCATTAACACATTGAAATAAACCTTAAATGAAAACTTTAAATATATCAGGAATATATTTAATAAGGTTCTCTATAATTTTTTCCTGTTTATTAGATATATATATATATATATATATATATATATATATATATATATATATAT